TGCTATATTTTTTATTTTTTTTCCATCAGATGATTAAAAAGATAAAAAAGCGGCATGCTTGCACTGCTGTGGAGTCATTTGTGAACATCTCTAACTCTGCATTTAAAATGAAGTGCTGATGTCATTTAAGCTCTATAATATTAACTTCAATCTTTTTGTAAATATTAATTTGAAGTATTGAAAAAGTTTGTCTTTTTTCTTGAAATGTTCTTACAAGTTTCCATCGCTGCGATTAAATCAAACTATATGAAGCAAAGTGAACTTCATAGGGAAGTGATTACACTTTCGCAATCATGTGTACTTCCTCTGCTTCTCAGAAAGTCTTTGCTAAGCAAAAGTTCATCCTTCCTTTCACGCACTAAATTTTATCAAGTGTAAGATGTTCTACACAAACAGCTGTGTTGGCATTAGCAAATGCATGTATAGGTCATCGGAAAGCCTTTTAATTGAACCGTCAAAGCTGAGGTCATGCTCAGACGATGTCATAAATATATATATATATTTTTTTAAAAAGTCGTTGCCCACCTGGCTGTGTGCTCAGTACGCGTCTGCGACTTTTGGTTCAGTTTTTCGTCATGTGTCACTTTGTGCCTCTTTTAAACTGATTTACTGTTTAAAAAAACAAAACAAGTTTGGACTAGATTATGCACCCGCACTGGTTATGTTCAACCCCAATGAGGGTGGACTCACTTCCTCTGAAAAGTAGCGTTTCGTGTAGACTGCTCAAACCAGTTATCTTCAAATGTAAAGCAAACGCAAGTGTAAAAGTCAATTTTCAACATTGCTTCCCTTCTTCTGCAGTTATGTTCATCATTTCAGCTCTAAGTGGACATGTTTTTATAAATTTGACACTTGAGTTGTCAGGAGTGGGGTTAGTTTGTTTGGGAGGTGGTGCAGCCAGCCACAAGTAATTTCACAGAAAGTGCTTTATATGCATTTAACAAAGTAACACCAGTTATTTCAACAGCAGGAAAAGAAAAAAACGAAGAAGAATATGTCCAGTTGACTGTTGTTTGTTGAGAAAGAGGAAAAAAATTAACTGTAGATCCAGAAAATGTGCCAGAGGAGAGGGAAATGTACGAGACGAGTGTTACCATCTTTGATTCCGCCTGATTGTTTTGTACTCGAAAGTGTCTGGCTGCTGAAAGCTTCTATTTCTGTGTGCATGCAAGTGTAACTTCCCCTTTTTATTTAAAACCGAACATGGCGTTATAGAATACTAAAGACATTAGGCTGATGATACCTGTAACTAACTTGTTGCTATGGTTTCCTTTCCTTGTCTCTCACTTAGGCGAAACCTTACCAAGCTGTCTCTGATCTTCAGTCACATGCTAGCGGAGTTAAAAGCCATCTTCCCCAATGGCCTATTTCAGGGTGACAACTTCAGGATTACCAAAGCTGATGCTGCTGAATTCTGGAGAAGGTCATTCGGGGACAAGTGAGTTTTTGTTTCAGCTCTGTATTCTTATTCTTGGGTGATGCTCGAATGACTCATATTTCACAGTAATCCTTATTAATGTCATGCTGGCCATCGATTCCAGTTCATCTCTGGCTGATACAAGCAGTTTTATCTTACTTACTGTTTCCTGCCCCTTGCAAACAAAAGATTTAAACAGAAGTCAGATTACCATATTAGCATAGTCACATTCACGGGCAACATGCATACGAAAAGTAAAAAAAACACAACAAAAGTACTGAAACTGAGCATTTATAGCAGTGGGAGGTCTGGGTTTTGGGGTCATGAGTAAGATGACCTCATGATTTGAAACGTCTTGATGCATTCTCAATCATCCAGGAAAATAAATCTCCAAAAGTTGATTCTGTTCATCTGGACGTAGCGTTTTCTGGGAGAAACGTTTCGTCACTCATCCAAGTGACTTCTTCAGTCACTTGGATGAGTGACGAAACATTTCTCCCAGAAAACGCTACGTCCAGATGAACAGAATCAACTTTTGGAGATCATGATTTGAAACTTTGACTGTGAGCATCCCAGCCATTTTATTAGGGGCACCTTGCTTCAGAGATGCCTTCGTTTTTGTGGCATTGATTCAACAAGGTGCTGGAAACATTCCTTGCAGATTTTGGTCTATAGTGACATGACAGCATCATACGGTTGCTGCCACATACCCAGGTTTCCCTATTGGACTGAGATCCAGTGACTCTGGAGGCCATTTGAATGCTATTGCTTGTTACTTACTGTCATGTTTAGAAAACCAGTTTGATTGGAGCTTTATCACCTGATGTGTTATTCTACTGAAAGCAGCTATCAAAAGATGTTAGAGATGTTTGTGGGGGGGAAATCGCAGCAGATCAGCAGTTTATGAAATGCTCAGAGCAGCACCAACAAGCATGTCCCATTCAAAGCTCTTTCTCCCACATTCTGCTCAGTTTGAACTTAAGCAGGCAGTGGTAACCATATACATGTGTGTCTGCATGCATAAATGCACTGAGTTGCTGTCATGCTCAGATATTAGTATTAATCAGTAGTTGAACACGCGTATCTAATAAAGTCACAGTTGAGTGTGTGTATTTGAGGAAAAGCATACCAGGTCCCCTTTAGTCAACTAAAAATACACCTGTGTATATATTTAGAGTTGTGTCTTTATAAAGGTCTGCTGCCTTGTTAGCTAGGTGTTAGCTTAGCAAATCTGCAATTTTATTACATTTTAGGTTCTGTTTAACCCCAAATTCAGTCTTAACTAATAGTGAAAGGCAATGTTCCCACAACAAACATTTGTTTCCTCTCCCTCCCTTCTACCCAGGACCATAGTGCCATGGAGGACATTTCGGCAGGCTCTTCATGAGTTTCACCCTATTAGCTCAGGTCTGGAGGCCATGGCGCTCAAATCCACTATTGACCTCACCTGTAACGACTACATCTCCGTCTTCGAGTTTGACATCTTTACAAGGCTCTTTCAGGTACGTCACAAAGCATTAATAATAATAATAATA